GTATGTGTCTATCAGAAGTTTCAAATTTCATAAGCTATGACAGACTGAGCATTAAGTTGTACTGCTTGATGAAATAATTGAAATGCTTTGATAGATCACTTCTGCAGTTGCAAGCCTGATTAATTATTGTTTATAATATAAATACTATTGTACTGCCTTCTGAGTTGCATTATCCCTGTTTCTCATCATGATTCTTGATTTTTATGATATTGTTGAGTGTCTGGCCGGTGTACAGCCACGCTGGAATGTGTCAACAAAAATCATGACATGTTTCAGTGTGGCTGTACAGCAGATGTATGAATTTAATCTGAAAAGATTTAAATCTACAAAGCTTTTAATTCTCATTCATGAAGAGATTTTCATAGTTTATCTCATTTTCATATGAGATCATGATTCTTGATTCTGATAACTTGAAGATCAGAAGATTCAGTTCTTTGAAGAAGGTATTTTATAAACATTTTGATATTTTCACAGACATGCAATTGTGAAGTTCTTAAGCACTTGAGCTTCTTCACAGCACTATCACAGTGATGCAGCTTCATAGAACTTTAGAAATTGCAGATGTTATTATAACAACATAGCTTTGTGGGGACTTGATAACTTATTTCTTAACTTCAGCACCTGGGTGCAATTGTAAATATAAAGCACTCAGGCTGACACAGATGAATCAATTCATAATGTAATGAGTGTATTTTGATTAACAATCTAACACTATTCTAAATACAGATTACAAATCGATTAAGAAAAGAAAGAGAAAAAAGATCAGAAGAAAAGATTGTATGAAGAGGGTTTTTATAAAGAGGAGATCAGAGCAGAAGAATATCAGAAGCCACTCTACAATGGGACAGAGCAGAGCACAGAGCAGAAGAACATTAAAAGTTATGTGGAAGAATCATTAGAACTATGTGAGCACAAAATGTGAGGCAGAAGAGATTACACAGAAGAATTGTTAAAGGCAATACAAGTGCAGAGTGCAATAACAGAGATGAGTAGATGCAGGAGAGGAGTTGATTGCGTAAGTTAACTACTAACAGATACTAACCTGTCATAAAAACTTGCTAGAATTTATCAACCTTTACTGAAGATTTATCAAGAACTTTTCAGATATTGTATAATCACTGACAAATTTGATTTAAAAAATGCTGTATTTCAATGAACTGATGGAGTAAACACTGCTTTCAAAAAATTAAAATGCATGTTCAACATTTCAATGTTGCAATCATTCAATTTGAATAAATATACAATTCTCAACACAGACTTCTTTAATTATATGATTGAAAAAGCATTAATGTAATATAATAATGAAGATATTTTATGACTTTATATATTCATTTTAAAGAGGATGTCTCCCACTGAGTGTAATTCCAAAATTTATAATAAGAAACTCTTGATTATCATATAATATCTGAAGAAATGAAAGTCAGAGCTCATGAGCATTGAGAAGTTTGAAATCATCATTGATGATAAAAATGTAAAATATTTCACAATCATTCATAAACTCATTAAAAGACATATATATTGATTGTTGTTTCTTAGTCATTTCTCATTTATGATTTGTTACTAATCAGAGATGGAAAATGCTTTCACAGATATTTTATTTCATTAAGAATAATATATATCATCTGACAATCTAAATAACAGATAAAAACATTGAGAGTATTAATTAATCAATTTTATAATTATAAAAAGTCTCATACAATCAGATAAACTATACATACACATTAATCAGTTCTGAGCTGAAAATCTTTTCATTTAAAGAACAATGAAGAAAAGTAGTAAAAGTAAATCTGACAATAAATTGCTGAAGCTGTACGAAACAAAATATTATAATTTCTTTCAAATGTATATTCAAAAATGAACATCTCAGCATACTCAATTGATGATGATGATTGTCTACACTTTTGAAATAGACAATGAATCTCTATTCAGAATCTTTATGAATGCAAATCATGCAAGAAATTTATAATTCATTGATGATTGAATATTTAAAATGTGAGATTATATACTGCATCATTGTCTGAAAATTTTACTGACTATTCAGAATATGTTAAAAAATGTACATCAGTTTATATGTAACTGTGATTGCTGTGATTTGATGATAATATAATGATACTGAAGCTGCTAATCATCTCTGAATGAATATGATGAAATATAATCATCAATTTTACAATTTCTTTATTTGAAAATGGAGATTTTATGAACATTCTAATTATTGTCAACTGTCTTAATAAGGATGTAATACTACAACTGTGTGACAAAATGAACACTGAGATTGTTGCAGATGTTTTTATCAGAAATTCATTTTATTATATACACAATCGATTTTCATTCATTATATATATCAACTAAAGACAGTCAGTCAATTCATCAGTGCTTTTTAAATCTGTATATATCAGCTGCTAAAGATTAAATGAAAGTTGTCAACAATATATCATTTAAAGATTGATAGAGTTATTAAAAGAATAATATAAATAATTAAAAACATTCTCTGAAAACTCTGTAATTATATATAAAACAAATGAAGCAGTCTGCTGCTGTATACTGAGAAAATTATAAATAACTGAGATCTTGTAACAATTGATGTAAATTTGTTTTGAAACTCTTTAAGAAACTGTGTACATTCACAGTTTTATACAAACAGTAGAAAATATCATTAATGTATGTATGTATGTATGTATAAATTTAACATCTCAGAGAAGTCACAGACAACACTCACACTTCAGAAGCCTTTCAAAGAATATGAAAATATATTATATTAAAGAGATTTCTATATACACAAGAAGAGAAAACAGAAATCAGATGACAATTCTTGAGAAAACTCAGTATAAATTGACTCCTCATTCACTTCTGATCTGACATACAATCATTCATGATAGAGTTATAATGAATGCACGCCTGTGCATGATACATCTCAGTAGAGATGTATCACATATTTAGCATTATTATCAATATATCAACATTGCTAAAAATGATATATCTATATACAACTAAGAAAGCAATAAAGAGAATAAGAAAGAGGAATACTATGAATTTACAGAATTTTTCTGTGGAAGCACAAGTCTCACAACACTTTCAAAATTGATGTCTTCAAGCTTGAAGGACACAACATTTGCAAGGAATCTGACTATTATGCATCATATGATCAGAATTAGAGCAAGAGTAATAAGTTAAGTGAATGATGAATGATGCTATACTGAAACAAGTTAGTGG